CACACACACACATACACACACCACCAAGGAAGCTAGCCTTACCAGAATAAGAGTCCCGGTCCCTGTCCACAGTGCTGAAGGGCTTGTCATTGTGCCAGGAGAGTGAGTCGCCAGCATCACCGTGGTACTGGCCAAGCCGCAGGCGGTAATGGTCACTCTCAGGCTCCAAGGAGAAGCCGTCGTAGTGGGCACGGGCCCCACGACCCCCCCAGTCTTCCAGGAGCACCAACAGCTCGTGGTCCCCGCGGCTGGTCAGCTGGTGCACAGGCTCCAGGCCCAGCCAGTATTCCCCATCTGGCCGCCCAAAGCCTGCCTGGCAGGGCAGGAAGGTGGGGCAGTCAGGAGAGGACCCCCTCCACCGCCCAGCCCCTCCCATGCACCCCTGCCCACCTTGTAGTGCGTCCAGGTGGTGAAGAAGTTGACGGAGCCGTCTTGTCGCTTCTGGATCACCGTCCAGCCACCCCCCTCCAGCTGCTGCTCGCACCAGGCCATCACCACGTGACGGCCTGGCCGCAGCTCATACACTCCACTCTGATCGTGGCCTGCCTGCTGGGCCTCCGCGCAGTCCTGCCACGGGCCTGTGGGCACAGGGATGTGGGGGACATGCAGCCTCAACCCACCAGCCCCCTGCTAAAATAGCACCCTTCCTCTCCGTGGGTCCCTCAGCAGAAGCAAGGGCCTGCCTCTCCGGTCCCCCCACCAGAATAAGAGCTCCCATTTTCTTTCCTGAGTGAGGTGCTAGGTCCCACTTGGCTCAAGAGACCGGATGTAAAGCCTGGGGTGTTTAACTCTTCTTTCTGTGGGCTCCACACCAGCAGTCCTGAATATCCCAGTCTAAACCTGTCCACCTACCCGCCAACGTAGCAGCCCTAAATTCCCTGTCCCTGTGTCAGAATAAGAGCGCTGTACTGAGGGACGCTGGTGACACCGTGGGCTACACGTTGGCCTGCTAACCTCAAGGTCAGCAGTTCAGATCCACCAGGTGCACTGAGGGAGAAAGATGGGGCTTTCTGCTCGTCTTTGCATCTTGATAAAAACCACACCTCCAGGTCTTGTCTTCAGAATAAAGGCATTTCTTTCAGCCCCATGGGAGGAATCTGCCTTTGGAAACTTAACCTGTCTGCATCCCTTACCCACACTGCACCTGGAATCCCCTAGTTCTCCACAACCCCAGCAGCCCTGCCTCTGTCCTACCTGCAGGCTTAGTGGAGGCTGCAGGGTGCCCTGCGAGCGTGGGTGATGCCAGCAGCCCCTGCTGTCTTGAGGTCTGGTCTTTCAGGGTCTCCAGGGCTGGGTCCAGCCTCCTGCTGCTGTCACTGATGCCACCCACCAGGCTGACAGGAACCACAGGCACCAAGGGTGGGGGCAGGACCTGCAGTGGCCAAGAAGGCCTGGGATGAGATGGCACTACCCCTTGGCCAAAGCCCTCCCCCACCCCAGCATCATAGATGATGGGTAATTGTCCCTGTACCCGGATAAGCAGGACATGGGGAAGGTAGGATGCCCTGCCCCATCATTGACCCTGCTCAGAACCTAACTCTGGACCCTCAGTAGCAGAGCTGGACTCAAATCCCCACTTTGGAATTCAGCAGTGTAACTATCTGTGGCTGTCTCTCAAAAGAGCAATCGTACATCCGACACTGGGCGTGACCTTACAGAATCTCCCAGACCCTGCCCATGCTGGGGATGCTCACACAATAATTTCGTATTTAAACGCAGGAACAGATATGTTCCAAGATTCAGAGCGTGGCGTATATGTATATAACATAGAAGCCCTGGTGTCGGAGTGAGTGTTGTGCACTGGGCTGCTAACCTGAAGGTCAGCAGTTCAAAACCACCAGGATCCTCGGGAGACATACAGGGCTTTCTGCTCCTGTAGAGAGTTACAGTCTTGGATCGAAAACGGTAAGGGCAGTTCTAGCCTGTCCTATAGGGTCGCTATGAGTCGGAATTGGCTTGATGGCAGTGTGTTTGTTTTGTTTTATATGGTATAACCTCAACCAGTTTGTGGTCTTTATCCACAGAGTAAAAATATGCTTGAAACCAGAACCAATGACTATTCACAGTAAGTGGCGCTTTAGTCGCATGTTGATCCAAAAGAGTTAAGGCCAAAATTCGGCTTTCAAAGTGTTTCTCGGATTTTGCAAATGAGGGTCAGAGCCTGGTCTCAGGGACATGCACAGCAGGAGTGGCTGCGGGATTACCTGCTGCTGCCCGCCCATGCCCCCCGGGCACAGGCGTTCCAGGCGGGCAATGAGGCCGCTCTGCTGGCTGACCATCTGCGCCAGCTCCCGGAACTTGACGTCCAGCTCGTGGAAGCGGGCGGCGGCGCGCTGCGCTTCGGCCGACGCGTTGAGCACGCGCTCGCCCAGCAACGCTAGGGCCGCGGCGGGCTCCGGCCCCGCCCCCGGCCCCGCCTCGTGCTGCAGCTGCGCGCGCAGCTGGCCCAGGCGCGCACTCAGGCCGCGGCTCTCTTTGCGCAGCGCGCGCACCTCGCCGGCCACGGCGCCGTCGGCCGCCGCCACCCGCTGCAGGTCGCGCAGCAGCTGCTCGTGGCGGCCCACGCGCACGCGCAGGGCCGCCACCTCGCTCGCGTTGACTGCCTCGGGCCCCGGCCGTCCGGCCGCCGACCCGCTCCAGCACACGGCGCCCGTGAACTTCTGCTGGGGCAGCACGAAGGTGTAGGTGCACCTGGGGGCGCCTGCCCGCGCCCACGACGCACCCAGCAGGAGCAGCAGCTGCAGCGCGCGCCACGGGGGCGCCGTCATGGTGGACCTGCGGGCACAGAAGGAGGTGGCAGCCAGCAGCCCGGCCCCTGCCCCCATGCTCGGAACAGACCCATCTGCCCCGGCGCAAGAACGCGACGGCGATGCACCCAGTGTACCCCGCCCGAGCCCCTCCACCGAGTTCCCGGCGCCCTGCGGGCTGCACGTCTTCCGAGGGGCTTGTATTGAGCGCTTACTGTCTGCCTGCCCTGTTTTACTCGTGGCGAGTACAGTCAGCAGCACAACGCGAAATTCCAGGCCCTGGAGGGCCAGAAACAAGACCAACGGGTTAAACGGGGCCTATGAGGTGGTGCGAAGTGCTAAAAATAACCCGAGGACGGAGCTTTCTGGGGAGGGGACACGGCGGGACCCGAGAAGGGGCGGCAGAAAGTTCTGAGGATGCCTGGGGAGACGAGCGCAGCAGGCAGGGAATAGCAAGGACAAGGATCCTGGGGCCACTGCCATCCACCTCCCCCGCGGGCTCTTCTGTTTAGACACGGAATTCCTCGGCCCACCCTCCAGCTCAGGAAACCACACGGATCCTTCCTTCTTCCTCCCTGGTCCTGCTCCGTGTTCCCCACCCAGCCTATCCTCTCCACGGCCGCCCGAGGGCGCCTGTGAGGCCCGTCTCCCCCACAGCTTCCTTGGATCCCCACCTCCTTCGGAGAAAATTCCTCTTGTGGCCACAAGCCACGCCTGTGCAGCCTGGCCACCTCCCTGCCGCCTCCCTCTAGCTCTCCAGCCACGCTCGCCATGCTGTTGGACCTCAGTCATACTCCCTCCGCCTCAAAGCCTTCGCTGCACGTTTCCATCCGCCTGGAAGTACCCCACTCAATTGTACTAGGTTTGGGGGGCGGGGGAAGATGAAAGAGGCAGGGCTGAGGGCCTGTGGGGATCTGTGGGCTTGGGTTTGGTGGCTGGCGCTTGGTAAGGATGGGGTGTTACCAAGTCTGCACCCTCAGCTTATCTGGGTCTCAGCTTAGATGCCTCCCTGTTCATAACCCCTCCCTGGCCACCCCATTTAGAGTAGCTCCTCTTATCTAAAATAGTCCGGCTTTTTATGATCTGAATGCCCCACCAAAATAACCCCACCCCCTCCTAGCTGGGTTTTGCTCCCCGCTCCGTCCCCAGTGCCTAAAACTGCCTGGCACCCAGCCAGTGCTGCTCGCTAAGAGTTTGTTAGGTGATTGGATGAGCTCTCACCCCCACCTCCCGCGCACCAGTAGCCTCACTCAAGGTTGTATAATGTGGCCATCTACACAGAAGCCTCCTCCCCCTACTCCGTCACATGCCTGGGTACACCAAGATCCACATGCCCACAGCCTCTTGTGGGTACTTGGTGGCAAGGGACACATTCCAGATGTCCACACATCACCCCACCTGCCTCTCGTCCAAACACCCATGCCCTGGCACCCACAGAGGGCAGTGCACCACCCCCTCCATGGTCACATGCCTCCATCATTCACACACTGAGCATCTACCTGTGCCAGGGCCTGTCCCAGGCAACCAGAGAGCGGGAACCAAGACGGACCAAAGCCCCACCCTCCTGAGCTGAAGTCCAGCTTGGGGACACGGACAGGTAAATAGGCAGAGGGAACAGCATGTGCCAAGGACCTGAAGTGGGACCCTGCTTCAGTGGCTCCAGGATTGGGGGGGGGGGGGGGGGGGGGGGGGGGGTTACGGGGGGGGTGCTCTAGGAGGAGAGCAAGGGAAGTTTGTTCAGGGCTTTGGGGAAGCTTGCACTCCACAGAGATGGGAACCGTGGGAGGTTGTGAGCTGGGCAAGGCTGGTTTGCTGCCATCCTGCACCCCAAGCCAGGTGGGGCGGGGCAGAGCTGAGTGAGGTGCTCTCCATGCTCCCCACCAGATACCTGGCTCCCCACCTCCGTGACAAGGATCCCCTGGAGCTAGAATACAGCTGTAGCACAGGCCAGGGTCCCCGACAGTCTCTGCCCGCCGCCCCACCTTCTCTCTCACCTCTCACGCCCAAGGCCCTGGGTCCAGCGAAGAAGCTCGAGACAGGCCGGGGAAGTCTGAGGAAGAGACGAGGGTCCGCAGGGGCCTCTGAGCTGGGGGAGGGGAGCAACCAGTAGGAGGGCAGGAAGAAGGAGACTTGGTAAACCCTTCTGCACCCCCAACGCCTGGGCCTGGAGCTGTGCTTGGCCCAGGAGCCCCAACTGTAAATATTTAGGATTTCCCATGTGAGGACTGAGGCAGCTGGCCAGACACCCCCCCTGCCCAGGCCTCCAGAGCCCGATAACACAGGTCAGTGGCCTGGGCGTTCCTCTCAGGCGGAGCACAGAGCGTGAGAGGCTGCAGGGCAGAGCACAGGGGCAGGCTTGCACCCCCAGACACCCCCCACACCCCCTGCAAAAAGCAGAGGTGAGCATCAGTGAGCACCCTTTTTATCTCATCCAAGGATCCCTGGGGGCACAGTGGGTTACAGATTGGGCTGCTGCCCACAAGGTCAGGAGTTCAAACCCAACAGCCACTCTGTGGGAGAAAGATGAGGCTTGCTACACCCATAGAGTGACAACTTCAAGAAGCCCCAGGGGCAGTTCTGCCCTGTCCTGTAAGGCTGCTGTGGGTCAATATCGACCCGACAGCAGTGATTTTGAGTTTATCATTTTCAGCTAATCCACCCACCCAGAGCTTCTGTATATAGCCCCATAAGACAGCAGAGGAGACTGAGGCTCAGAGAGCATGAGCTACTTGCCCATGGTTACACCACTGGAGAGCACCCACCAGGGGACTCAGGCCAGATAGCTTGGCTGCCGTGCTCACACTTGTCTCCCATGAGAATGGTGTGTGCTCACATACATGTGTGCAAGAGGGTAGACGCACAGACCCAAGCAGGCATGCAAAACACTGCACAAAAACAGACAAGATAGACAGTGGGAGGTCCACAGAGAGCCCTGAGCATCCGTGTGTGTGTGTGTGTGTCTGTGTGTGTGTGTCTGTGTGTGTGTGTCTGTGTGTGTGTGTCTGTGTGTGGTGTGTCAAGCACAATAAAACCAAACCCGGTACCATCGAGTCATTTGATTCATGGCGACCCCTGGTATGTCAGACTCCAGCAGGTTTTCAATGGCCGGTTGGGGGCCATATAGACCGAGTGGTCTCTGCCCAAGAAGTGTCTGGTGGACTGAAACCACCAGCGTTTTGGGTGGCACTGTTGGGGATGCATTGGGCTGCTAACTGCAAGGTCAGCAGTTCAAACCCACCAGCTGCTGTGAGGGAGACAGATGAGGCTGGCTCTCCCGGATCTATTTAACGATCTCGAGAGAACCCTATATCGATAGGATCACTATGAATGGGGATTGACTCGATGGCAGCAGGGATTTGGTTTTGGGTCTTAGCCACGGCATGAACCATTCGCACCACCCAGGGACTTTATGTGGCTTGGACACACACACACACACACCTGTCTGTAGTCAGTCCTGGGTGGGGGCCGGGTGTTTTTTCTGGCTGGTTGTTTGTACACCCACACACATGCACAGCCTGTGGACAGGACCCCCCACCCCCCCACCTCAGCCAGGTCCACCTGGTCGCGCACTGGCAGGCGCAGAGACACAAAGCCTGGACAAAGAGAGACCCCGACGGATGCTTACAGTATGGGTGCCTCTGTTTGACACACACCCCTCCCGCCCCCATACCGTCGTATTCTCCCACAGAACCAATCTCCCAGCAGCATGCTACAGGCAGACACCACTATGCAGTTCCAGGTCAGAGGCCCAACGTGGAGTTGGGGAACCACACCGACAAGTAGAGTAGACACCCACCGGTCTCTGTCCCCCAGTTCACAATGTCCTGAAGCGCTTACCTAAGTGGACGCCCGGGGCTGAGAAAGGAAATGACTGCCCCAGATCTCCGAGAGGCTGCCAGGCTGGGCTTCCCACCCTTTTCTCCCACCAGCGGCACAAAGAGAAGAAATCTCCTAAGTCAGAGAGGGGATGACAGAAGGGAGAGAATGCAAGAGACAGAGATGGGGCAATGGAAAAAGAGATGGAGAGGCAGGAAAGAGACGGGCTACCCACAGAGATGGGAGATGGAACGAAGGGCAGAGGCAGAAAGGTGAAAGAGGTGGCTGATGACAAGGTTGGAAGGGAGAGAAGACAGGGATGGAAAGGGAAAGACAGAGAAGGGGAGGGGAGGTGGCGTGGGGAGAGAATGTTCAGCCCACGGAGGGAGGGGTGTCCCCCTCCCCCAAGGTTCTGGGGAAGAAGCCAGAGGCCTGAGGCCAACACTGGGGCTCCGAGAGGAAATGGGGCGGTGGGGGTTATTCATAAAGAGCCTGCCTTGCCCTAAGTTTCCAGAAGGTGAGGCGGAATTTCCATCTGCAGGCAGAGGCCCCCGCCGAGCAGCTGGCCCTCAGGATCGGCCCGCCCCCGCCCTTGAAGACTGCAACTGGACCTATCCTTTCCCTGACTGAGACCCCCAAGTGCCAGGGAGCAATTTTATACCAAGACTGCACAGCTGGAAATAAAATTACTAAGACGCGTCTGTCGGCTACAGTAGCATGAATTTCATAGCGGGTAGGGCGAGGCTCAATTCCACCTGAGCGAGGTGCTTACAGAAGGGGAGAGAAAGACAAAAACGACCGCCGAGAAAAGGGGTCAACTAGAAGCGGAGGAGACAATGAAGGAGCTGTTCTTAGAGGCTGAACAGGTGTCTCTCCCGAAGCCTCAGAAGGACCCAGTACAGGTCTCAGACAGCCACCGTCCAGCTTCCGAAACCGTAAGATGATCCATCTCTGTCGGCTACTGCCACAATAAATAAAGGGATGACTTCAATGGGAGGAAGGGTGGTATCTGACATTGGTTGGGCAAAAACTGTGCGAGAACGTAACCTCACGAAATTATAATTTAACATTTACACTTTAACAGAAATGCAACTTTCTGACTTCACTGGGGGGGAAGAAAATAATCAATCGGCCTCGTTGGAGGCAAAGAGCCAAGCCGGTATTCGAACCTGAGGTTGCGGGAGCCTGGTTCCGCTCCCGGTCGCTAAGCGGCAAAGCCCCGCCCTGGTTTCCATAGAAACAGGCCCGCCCGCCGGTCGACGTCACCAGGGGCGCCGCCTCCTGTGGCCGCCGGCGCCGGAAGTGAGCTTGGCGGCACCGGAAGTGAGCTTGGCGGCGCCGGAAGCGCCCGTTCCCGGCGGCCTCGTGGGGCAGACGGCGGCATGGGGCAGCCGAAGCGGGTGAGGCGCGGCGGCCGGGGAGGCGCGGGGCACCGAGGGGCGCCTGGCGGAGGCCGCGGCGCTCACCCCTCGCCTCTTGCCCCCGCAGTCCCGGCACCAGAAGCGCGCGCGCGCCCAGGCGCAGCTCCGCAACCTCGAGGCCTATGCCGCGCAGCCGCATTCGTTCGTGTTCGCTCGGGGTCGCGCTGGTCGCGGCGTCCGGCAGCTGAGCCTGGACCTGCGGCGGGTCATGGAGCCGCTCACCGCCACTCGCCTGCAGGTCGGCACCTACCCTAGGCCCTGGCTTCCGGGCAAAGGGCCGGGCGCCCTCCAGTCTCCCGGGGTTGGAGGCAGGACCCCCTTTCTGGGGACCATCATCCCCGCCACGCTCGCAGAAAACCCACCGTGGGTCTTGACTGCGTCGGGCGGCGAGGCGTGGGCCCTCGGGGTAGAAACGTGGCTCTCAAAGTTCTGGAGCAAGCGCTTGAGGTTCCTAGTAAGCAAGTGGCAAAGGCGGTTCTAGGGGCCAGGAGCATCCCTCTCTCCTGGGCTTGTTGAAAGAGCTGCATGGGGCCGCTCTCAGCCTAAACCTACCCTTGTTGCTCTGTAAGGTCCGAAAAAAGAACTCGCTGAAGGACTGCGTTGCGGTAGCCGGGCCCCTTGGGGTCACACATTTCTTGATCTTCAGCAAGACGGAGACCAACATCTACTTTGTGAGTGCTGTGTGTGAGTGACCCCCTCCCCCGGCTCCCCGCTCTCATGATGAGCCCATGTGCCTCTGAGCTGCCGTGATTCAGGCTTCAAAGTAAACGCTCTGAAGAAATGGAGCCGAGCTTCACCGCCCCCAGCGCGCCGGCCTGCCAGACAGCACCCTCTTCCCCTCACAATCTCCTTTGTTCTGCAGAAGCTGATTCGACTTCCAGGAGGTCCCACCTTGACCTTCCGGATCAATCAGGTGAGGGCTGAGGTCTGGGTAGGCTGGGGGAGGGCGGGTGGCCCCAGTTGACAGGCCCCTCACGGTAGCCTGCCCTGGTCCCACAGTACACACTGGTGCGAGACGTGGTCTCCTCACTGCGCCGGCACCGCATGCACGAACAGCAGTTTGCCCACCCTCCCCTCCTGGTGCTCAACAGCTTCGGCCCCCACGGCATGCACGTGAAGCTCTTGGCCACCATGTTCCAGAACCTGTTTCCCTCCATCAACGTGCACAAGGTGGGCCATGGTGGCAGGTGGCCGTGGGCGGGAAGTCAGGGTATCAACACCATTGGCACTTGGCTGGGTCACTCAGGCCTCACCTCCGGCATTGTGGCCGAAAGCGGGCCCTCCAGGGTCCACTGAGTGTGGAGGTCAGAGCCACCCATGGGTTCCTGACAGATGGGAAAAGGTGCTAGTAGCTCCCTGGTGTGATGAGAAACTTAGGCCACCTGAGGTTAGATAGAGGTTGGGTCCCAGGGAGACTAGTGTGGTCGATTGTTGGACCCAGATTTCTAGCCAGTGCCCCAACTGGCTGTGTCACCATTTGCAGCCTTCCCATCCACCACCACCACCACCACCTTGGTGGTTCTAAGTGGGTGGGCTGGTTCATGCAGAAGGCTCACGTGGCACCATGCCCTCTTCCCTTCCTCTCCAGGTCAACCTGAACACCATCAAGCGCTGCCTCCTCATTAACTTCAACCCCGACTCTCAGGAGCTGGATCTCCGCCACTAGTAAGTGCTGGGGGGCAGGGGCGCCCGGGAATTTGGGGCCCTGGGGTGTGGCTGATGACAGTACTATGGCTGAGACTCTGTGATTGCTCAATCTCAAAGTAAACGCCCTGACAACCCCTGGAAGAGTTTGAGGGGTCTGACCGTCCTCCTCACAACCCCTAATGTCCTACTCTGCATGCTCCGGCCCCACAGCAGCATCAAGGTGGTTCCTGTGGGCGCCAGTCGTGGGATGAAAAAGCTTCTCCAAGAGAAGTTCCCCAACATGAGTCGGCTGCAGGACATCAGCGAGCTGCTGGCCACGTGAGGAAGGCATGGATGGGGGCCTCGTTCCTAGGGTTGTCCTGGGGGCCTGGCATGCTCAGCTAAGCACTGAATGTCCCCTGAACAGGGGCGCCGGGCTGTCAGAGAGCGAGGCAGAGCCTGATGGCGAGCACAACATCACCGAGCTGCCCCAGGCCATCGCTGGCCGTGGCAACATGCGGGCCCAGCAGAGCGCAGTGAGGCTCACAGAGGTGAGGCCAGGCTGGAAGAGCCTCAGAGAGGAGTGACTGACGGGACCACCTGGGGAAGCACTGACCCCTCCCCTCCCCCCCAGATCGGCCCTCGGATGACGCTGCAGCTCATCAAGATACAGGAGGGTGTTGGCGAGGGCAACGTGCTGTTCCACAGTTTCGGTGAGGAAGGTGGGGGAGGCGGGTCACGGGCTATCTGAGACGGGTGTCTGAGGCCATTTAAGGTGGCGGAGGCTCGGGGATCTTGGCAAGCATCTTCTTCCTACTCAGTGCACAAGACGGAGGAGGAGCTGCAGGCTATGCTGGCGGCCAAGGAGGAGCGGCTGCGACTCAAGGCACAGAGGCAGGACCAGCAGGCCCAGAATGTGCAGCGAAAGCGGGAGCAGCGAGAGGCTCACAAGTGAGGCCCGGGCAGTGGGGTGGGCTGGTGGGGGGGCGGCGGGCAGGGCAGCACTGCTGACAGCCCCGGGCCTCTCCAGGAAGAGGAGCCTGGCAGGTATGAAGAGGACACGCACAGAGGCTGATGGGGACAGCGACGCTGAGGACCCGGGCGCCCCTCCGGAGGCAGAAGGAGCCAGCCGGCTGGAGGAGGAGGAGGAGGATGAAGCTGAGTATTTCCGCCAGGCAGTCGGCGAGGAACCTGACGCAGGTGTGTGTCATTGCAGCTGGTGCCCAGGGGGTGTGCCAGGGCTCCAGGGCACCAATCTGCCTCTCCTTTCAGACATGTTTCCTGGGCTGACCAGGCGCAGACGGCCTGCTCGACCTCCAAGCAAAAAGCAACGGGTAAAGGACCGGAAGCCGGAGCGAGGAGGTGACCGGAGGCCTCCAAGGCCCAAGGGCCAGTTGCGAAGAGGTCAAGCCAAGGCTGGTCCCCCCCGGGCTGCCCGAGGTCGTGCCCAGGGCCGAGTGCGGCTGCCTAAGAGAGCAGCTCGAGCCTGAGCCCCCAGCAAAGCTGGGCACCCCAGACGGGCCCAGAGGCTGCTCTGGGCTCGGGTGCAGCCTGCTGCTATTCCTTTTATAAAGGAGCCATCTCCCCACTCCCACAATAAAGGATCCACACCCTTGAGTCTCTCTGGTTGAGCTGGGGGGTTGGCAGCCCAGAGTGGCTTCTGTCAGGGCAGCACCTGGAAGTCTGGCCCATCTTTAGCCTGATCCTGGGGGCGTGAAGGGCTCATTCCACAGGTAGCGGTAGCAGCCTGTCTAAGGCTTGATCCACTCCTGTTCGCCGAGGTCTGCAATGAGGAAGGAGGCGGGGGTGGGGCCCAGGACCAACCAGCCCTGCCAGCTGTGGGTGGGGCTTCAGGAAAGGGAGGGGCCACCTCAGCTTATTAAGTCCTGAGTGTGTTGGCACGCTGGGAAGCAGCCACAGCTGGGCGCAAGCCATGGGGGCCAGCACAGGTGAGGCTTGCCTGGGGTTTAGGGGGGAAGCGTCCACCTGCCCCCTGGGTGGGGCTGGCGGCCCCAGGGGGGAGTGGGTAAGGGCACAGATTGTCTAGACAGCACTTCCTGGGGTTTGGCAGCCCAGCTCTGGGGAAGATAGAGAAGTGGCGAAGGGCGAGCTGTGTGTCAGGAGGCACTTCCTACTGCGGCGGAGCAGAGGTTTGTTTCTTGGGGG